TTCCTGGGAACAATGCTTATAGTCATACACAAGACGAGAATTGCTTTTTGTACGACTAAAGCCTTGAGCCTCCTGTAAATATTTTTAACTATCCAAATGTGATCGTTCAATCGTTACTTCTCTTTCAAAGACATAAAAACAACAGAGAACGAAAATATAACAATATAAAAAATCTAACGCACTTTACATATTTAATACAAATATAAATATAAATATAGAAAATTTTACGAAGCTTTAGTCTTTCATTTTTAAGAATAAAATTATAATATGTTTTTTACCAAATTTTCTAACACATTTTTATCCCATTTTAATTGTTTGATTGGACTTGAATCTTTGCTCTTCCATTTGTTACTTTCACTTGTGCCTGGTTGTGACTCCGATCCATTTCTAACTTGTTCATTAAACTTTGCTTGTATTTTTTCTGCTTTACTATTTCCAGGTTTGATCTATAAAATAATTTGTATATTATAATACAGGATATGCAGATTACTTAATACATCATTTTATTAAAATAAAAAAACTTGTGAACGCGAGCATGACATGGTAAACAGCGCACTAGTCTATCATGCCAGAGGTCCCAGGTTTGACCCTGGGAACCAAAATATTTCCGTTCGGAATCGGATTAAAACTGTATATTCTACATGCTCAATTGAATAATCAGCGTGCGCACCACAAGCATATGAGAGGTGTAACATAGGCCAAAAGCCTAAAATAAGAAGAAAAAACTTGTAAGCCAAGTATTACAAAATACCTTGGAACTAGTTAAGTTTGGATGAGATAAATCATCCTCCCAATTATTAATTGTTGAAGCTAAAGCTGCTAATCTGTCAAGTCTAGCACCTCTCTTAACTGGTTTACAATCCTCGCTACTTTCTTCTGCAGTGAATTTTTCTTCTGTTCGATGTATAGGTGAACTTAATTCGTGATTGTTATCATCTGTCAAAGAAAAAAACATTAATTTTTTTTGTTGTCCATAAATATAAATATTAAAAATAACTAATTTATCTATACAAACATCAATAAACGTTAATCTATATAAACATCAATAATTTTTTTTTTTAATTTTGTATATTATATTTAGAAACGTAAAAAAAATTTAATAGAATAAATTTTTTTAACATAAATTGTAATATAATTCTTCAAAAAAAGTTTGAAATATAGAACGAAAAAGTATAATCATGTATATTATATATATGCTGTGTATATTCAGACATAAACATACTCATGTATAAGTGTTAGAAACAAGTTTTGAAACAGCTTGTGTGGGAGTGCTCTGTATGAATTGTGTGGGAGTAACCGAACGGAGAGATTCAGAGTAATATTTAAGCTTATACTATTCAAAAGAGTTAGGACTTTAACTTAAAGTTTAGTACAATGTTCAACACCTTATTTTTAAATACTGCTTACCAGAATACAATTTTCCAAGTCTGTGTAACTTAGATCGCATATGAATTTGAAAGTCACTGTTCTCCTTGTTTTCTTGTTCATTATTCGGTGATGCAATATTACTTATAGGAGATTTACGTGGAGACTTGGTAGGAGAAAGTGCACTAACTCCAACTGCTTTGATTGGTGATTTAGCTGGAGTTTCATTTGCTACTGCTAAATAGGATATTTCTTTTAACAAATAAAAAGCTAATAGCTATAGATTTTATCTTAATGTATTTCAAACATACTTTTAACTGTGACTATTAAAATTTCATATATAAATGCTTATAAAATAAATCCTAAAAATATTACCTGTAGCTTGTTCTAACAAAGCATTTTTCAAAGGGCTCCGCTTTTTTTTAACATTATGTCCTGCATTTGACAACTTCTCATCCAGTTTCTCTCTCCTGGCTTTAGCTCGTTCCAACATACGCTATTTGTCAATAATCAATGTATGTTAGATTATAATATCGCAAAAAAATAATTTATATTATAAAAACATTTGTATCATAATCTACATTACGGTATGCAATTCTATCATAATGGCGCAAGTATTATAGAACATTTATATATTATAGATTTAATAATAATAGCAATCTCAATGATTAATATTACATCATGCCTACAGTGATTATATTTTCTTAAAGAAAATAAAGAATAGATCTGAAAATTTTAGGGCTTTGTTCCTACATGTTTTCAAATCAGTTTGTGACTGTCATGAACCTGTGCTTTGTAAAATTTTATTGCACAATATCAAATTGAAATAATGCACAGTTTTCTGATAATTTAAAAACTGATTCGACTGTATTGGAACAAATCCTTAATCTAAAATGATAAAAGGTTCAAAATAATAAAAATGAAAACAACTTTAGTTTGAATAAATTTAATTTAAAAAATTAAGAAATATAGATATCGAAAACAAATTGTATTTATATATATTTATATATTTTATAACATATTTTTATTATATTATATTTATATATTATGTATTTATATATATTTTTAACAAATATAAAGAAGGCTTTTAATGATACTTTTCTGAGGAACGTATTTTTTTTAAATTGTCATTTTAAAACAAATCATAAATTTCTAAATAATTCATTTCAAAATTACATTTTGTGTAAAACTTCAAGTATTTCAACTTTAAGCTGGGTTTTCTCACAGAAAAGAATTTCCCGTAATGTCAAAATAAAAGACAGTAAAGGACAATATTGAAAAATAAAGGACAAAATTAAGTTTTGAAGAAACAGATAAATCTAAAGGACAGCTATCTAAAATAAAGGCGTATGATCACCATAACTCTAAAAAATAATACATTACTTTTATAGTAAAAATTTTCATTAATTAATAAATAATGAGCAATAAAAGAGAATTTACACGTAGATATAAATCGTGAAATACAATCCGTGAAATATAATCATAACTACGTCACGGTACGTGCCAGTATCCCTATCGTGAGGCGTCTAACTTAGCAAGAAGACGAATAAAAAGCAGAATCCCTACCTGGACGAAGGGCTCCATTGTTCTTTGGCGTGTTTATGCGTCTAAAGCTTGTTAGCTCTCGATCGAAATTTCGTTCACACAATCGCCACCGCTGAGGTGAATGGTAAAGACTCTTAGAAAGACACCGAACGAATGATCGGAACGACCACCCTTACGCAGACGCTCTGCAATGCTCTGCAACACAACGAGATGGGAGTATCCTTTATTTCCAACCGTTGAATTTAAACGCGGGCGCCATACTGACGGGAAATTACGGGGAGTGGGGGAGCTTGGTTGATGACGCATGAGGAAAGAGGAGGTGCGCGGCTACGACGCGGGGGTCACAGTCCGGAGTAGGGACTAGGGAGTTGTAAAGGAGTGGGTGGAATGACAGTTTGCTCGTTGATATCACCACTCTCCACCTCGATTCCTCGCGGGCTCGCGGCTGATATCACGCAAACGCTTAAAACGTGCGTCGAAAAATGCGCGCCAAACGCAGCCTTTCACTTCGCAAATAGACGAAAGAATGAAAATTCGCAATTTCGCAAACAATCCTACGATCTGATTTAAATTAGTGAATTCACAAACCAGATTCCATATTCAAAACAATAGGATTTTTTTTCTATCGTCCTCTATCAACTTTTTTTTTATCAGGGATATGAGAAGGCTGAAATGGAATGAATATTATGACTATCAATGGGCGCCCTTGAAGCTGGTGTAACGATAACAAACCTTGCTTGTTCCGTGCGAGTCGAGATCGAATTACGAATGTTGAAAGCAAGTCCAAGCTCCATACTGTACGTTACCGTATCGTGACTGAACTGACGCGAACGATGTGAAGAGAATCGCGAAAGATGCGATAGACGCTGCGTCGCAGTGACGTAGCCACGAATTTCTCCCCGCCCGTTAACAAAGTGATTAAAACGTTCATCTTCTTTTTAGTTTCATATAAATAAAAAGGAGAATTTTTAATAGAAATTAAAGTAGAAATTACACATTTCAATCTGTGTAAATAACGTTTAATCGGTTAACAAAGAAATTTATATTTCGATGCTGTATATAATAAAAAACTTATTTTTTTACAAAGAAAATACACAACGTTCTTTGGTAAATAATAGAGCCATTGTAAAAAGTAAAGAGCGAATTTTTTGTAGACGCAAAGGCGTTGAATTTTTACAAATGCCAAAATAATAAAACGTCGAAAATATAGGCCTGTTCTTTTTAGCTGAACTTTTTCTCTTTGAGGAAAGAAGAAGAAAGATGAACTGGTGCAAAAGTTCAGTCAAAAAGAACAGGCCTTATATGTTTTATGCTCCAAATCATTTTCAGGGATTAAAATGGATTGAGAAAAAGCACGCAAAGCTCCTGGAGAGAATGCTAATGAAAACTTTCAAAGAATAAAGCTCTAAACTTTTTTCTAGAAAGAAAAAATATTAATTTGTTCTTATTCTCCGATTCTTAAGCTTAGGCTGTTTAAGTAGATTACTTCAATTTAATAGTACGCTACTGATGCGACTGTGCGATTCCACTGATCCTACATAGGGCCGCTATTTCATTTGTCGTATGATAAATTTTTCAAGCCTGTTGACTGGCTATAAGATAGAGAGATCCGAGAACTTTTCTGTCCTGTACACATTTATTCTCGTACGATAAAAAAGGGGTTGCTGGAGTGACCAAATTATCACATTACAGTACAATACAAGGTCCACTGCATCACCTCATAATTTTGCATCTACTTTAATCCTGTAAAAAGATTTTTTATTCCGTTCAGTCAATTCGAAGATTTTTATACGACTGTAATGTGATAATTTGATCACTCCAGCACGGTTTAAAATCATACCATGTGATTGGTCCACAAAAGTTTCTTTCATACGATAAAAATTATGAATTTGGAAATTCTAATTTATTATGAAATGTTTGAATTACCGTTAATCATTATGAAGGGAACAGCACATGTTGTCAAATAAGTAAATTAAGAAGTACACTGTCATGCAATCATTTGAATCAGTCTAGGCATTTGAGAGATAGTGAAATTAAGAAATATTAAAAATAAATATAGAATATATTAATTCTAAAATGTTATACATATGACGGTGATTGCCATGTTCTGGCACATATAATAAAAGTATAAAAATTTTGTTACTACAAAATGCGTATCATCACAATATCGTGTTAAACACATTAAGTGTTAATGTCCAGTGCACTATTTATCTCGGGACGTTTATCTCGTATTTTTGGATGAGAAGTGCTTCGTCATACATGAGACGACTCATCCCCGGTATCAGCAGCCATAGCTTCACGATTTTCGTATGCCCAAAAGCCATGGAATTCGATCAAGATACTGACCATCGTGTCGCCTTGCCCGCTTTTGCAATCAAAACATTTCAGTTACAATATATCGTATTTTTACACCGTGATATATTATATTTGAGATCTCCTCACCATGACAGTAAATCCTGCAGCGTAATTTTACACGGATCTGCTGGCTTCACCATATCGAAGATCTCATCTTTGACATCTTCAAAACTAACGGGTTCTTGACCATGCATCGTCATCTGTTCTTGTATCGCCTACAAAGTGATATTTTAGTTTTTCACTTCGTGATTCAGAAACTAAAAACATTTATATTACAGTAATACGTACCCTGAAAAAATAATTCAGACAAAAAGTATCTAAGTAACCATGATTGTTAATGTCGAGAATTCGAAAGAGGTAATGAAGACTCTGAGGTTCGTGCCGATTCTCTAATGCTAAAACGAAATCCAGATAAGTCTTATAATCCATCTCGCCTTCATAGGTGAGACATTCTTGAAATACTCGTTCAAGAAATACACCGGTTAAAGTACCAGTGCCATATCTGTTAACAAAACAATTATATTTTTAACATGCATACATTAATATAACACTATATGACATACAATTTTGAGATTTATTACCCAGCGAGTTCCTCTTTATTCAACATTCCATTGTGATCTCTGTCCAGATTAAGATATTGCCCGTAAACTTTAAGGGCCGAAGGTGCAGAGAACCAATTGGCTTCTTGCAAATCTTTCGGCAAATCCTCGTCTCTCAATTCTAGAAGATCGTCCAAGAAGCTACACGCTAAAATATCCTGAATACGAACTCTTCCAGTTCGAAGCGGATCTAAGAAGAATAAGAATTTCCTGACAGCTGTACACACATAAAACGAGTGAAAGGACTTTTCCAGCCCTTCAAGTTGTGGCAATGTTGGTATCAGTTCTAAGATATAATTTTCCAAATCCTGAAAACAAGTGAATGTGTTAAGAGTGTTCGCTTATATTAAGACGTTTCTCTTATAAAAACTTAATCTGAGATATTTAGAGAATCAAAAAATAAATGTTGTTTTCTTTATTCAGAAAAAAATTCAAAGCTTCAATCTGTAATAATTTTAGTTAGCATTCTCTTTGTGATCTCATGTATACTGTATTATTAATAATTTCTTTTTTCAATTTATTTTTACAGCTGAAGATGGTATGAAATATTTTGTGATTTTATTATTTTAACATTCGCTGTAGAAATCTGCAATTTCATATTAAAGAACACATTTTTCTTTATCTGAAATAAAAATATAGTATGCTGCAAATAATAAAACATTTTAGATTATAGACTCACTGATTCTCTAAGGTAACCTTGTCCCGTAATATCGTATAAAGATAATCCAATCCTTGTTTGATGTAACCAAACTTTTCGCATGACGTAATTGAATAGTGCCATTATGCTAATTCTACCATGTAAATCTCCTTGCTGCAGTTTGGCAAAAACAACTGCAGTAAAATACGGACTGCACTTTGTTCCTGCCAGTTTGCCTACTTTCTTAAAGTCCTCATAATTAATTAACTGCTCATCTCCTGACAAAGGTGGACTGTGATGTTTGTCCAACAAAACCCAGAGTGCTTTCAATTCGTGATTATCGAGTAACTGTCTAGAACGTCTTTGTAGGAATAAGGCGCGTGTTTCCTCACGTAATTTCTGTGGTAGAATTTCGTCTTCTTTCGGCAACTAAAACAGTATTTTTTTTTATGATACATAATAGAAATATACTTCAATCAAAGTTCAACAGGATACAAGTAGTACCTTGAAATAGAATTTTGGTATCACTTTATAAGTGGAATCATTCTTAGTCTTCACGCCCTTCCACTGCTGATACATCTTCTGAAAGTATTTGTCTTCCTTTTTTTCATCTTCTTGAGAATTCTCATCAGCTGCAACAGTATGTCTTGTGATATTCAGTGAAATAAGCAAGGCATTTTTTTATTTATAACAAATTTTGTTATTTACATTACAATAGATTAGTACATTCTAAAAGCTGCTATACATGAAATTAACAAAGTTAAATGTAAAAGTATATAAATATTTTAACCTTCAATTGGATAGGTAAAGTAACCATAGAACTCCAGATATAGTTTTTTTTAAAACCTTGTTCTTGAAAAGGAAAATAAAAATTATTGTCCAGAATACTTAAAGTACATTATTTTTATATTCCTCTCATAAGGATATAATTGTATATAATGTAAGTTTCATTATAATATAATAAAAAATATAACTATAATATAAAATTAAAAACTTCATTGAGGTTTTCTGAGTACCTCATCCATCAACTTGCTTATTTTTAAATCACCTACTTACTTAAAAGTCAAATTATTAAACATTCACTATTGTCATGTTATTTAAGAGTTTACATGTATTATTGTTAAAGTTTATTACACAGTATGTGTGTCACTGCATTTACCTTCACGTAAAACAGCTTTTAACGTGTACTAATTTAATATACAGGGTGTTTCCAAATTAAATGGCAAAACTTCGGGAGCGTGTAGAGGAGTAAAAAACTAAGAAAAAAAGTCCTATAGACATATGCTCGTTTTTGCTCCGTTTCAGAGAAATCGAAAAAAAATGTTTACATTTCTTGCCATATCTAGCACCGACATATTTGATTACATTTTCCACTTTCTGTTATGAATTTGTCAGTCGCTCTTTGAAAGCCTTTAACAGTAGATGAATTTTGTCTTTTGCAATATGCCGCGTACGTATTCTAATAGTGAATATGCTGATATGGTTTTTGTATACGGTTTCTGCAACGGTAATGCTTTAAAGGCGGTGCGAGAATATGCACGACGATTTCCAAACAGAAGAGTGCCAAACCGAAGAGTGTTTATGTTGACATTTAATAGATTGCGAGAGACTGGAACATTTTCAATTCGACAAGAAAACAACCGATTTCAAGCAGCGTTACGAAGAGATTTGCAGGCAGGGAATCGTATTTTACAACATTTTGACAATCATCCTGAGACCAGCGTTCGGAATGCGTCGGCTGTATTGGGAGTGTCACCACAAACAATTTGGCGAACTGTAAAAGGAGATAATCGCTATCCCTACCACATTCAAAAAGTGCAAAATTTATTACCTCAAGATCATTGGAACAGATTGAACTTTTGTAACTGGTACCTTCAGACATGCCACAATGATATTTTATTTCCATCTAAAATAATGTGGTCAGATGAGGCAACATTTACCAGAGGTGGAATAATTAATCAAAGGAATTATCATATATGGGCTCATCAAAATCCCAGGTCTGTTAGAGAATACAAATTTCAGCAAGAGTTTTCTGTTAATGTCTGGCTTGGAATTTGGAACGACGTTTTAGTGGGACCGTTTTTTTTACCTGCAAGATTAAATGGGGACCGTTTTCTAAATTTCTTGGAGAATGAATTTTCTGACTATTTAGAAAACATCCCATTACAACAACGTACTGAAATGTGGTTTCAATTAGATGGATGCCCTGCTCATTACAGCAGAGTCGCTAGAACCTGGTTAGATAGAAAATTCCCACAACGATGGATTGGACGTGGAGGAGCAGTACATTGGGCAACTCGTTCGCCCGACTTAACGCCATTAGATTTCTATGCATGGGGTACTCTGAAGCAAGAAGTTTATTCTTCGCCTATTCAATCAGAGCAACATTTGAGAAATCGTATCGTAGCTGCAGCGAACAGAATATCGCAAGAACAGTGCCTGGCTGCTACAAGAGCCGTGTTTGACAGATGCAATGCTTGTATTGCTGCAAGAGGTGCACATTTCGAACAAAATCTTCATTAAAAAGTTTATAAATAAAATAATTAAAATAATAAATTAAATATATTTTTTTCTTTTTTCGTGATTTCCTGCGAAACAAAGCAAAAAGGAGCATATGTCTATAGGACTTTTTTTCTTAGTTTTTTACTCCTCTACACGCTCCCGAAGTTTTGCCATTTAATTTGGAAACACCCTGTAGTATGAGTGACCGAATTTACCATTAAAAGATACATCATATTTCAATTAGAAGAAATGCTGCTCTTGTTAAAAGACAAAGGCATATACATACATTTCTTTGCTGAAGCGTGGTTCCGCAGCAGCGTTTCTAGCTCCATGTTCTCGCGAACGTCGTGATTCCACTCACGTGTCCTTTTTTTTTTATAAAGAATTATCGCACACTTTTACATCCAGACTGTTTCTTTGACTATTCCCGTGTTATATTATTCTTTCCTTTGCATCAAATGACATACTATCTTTAACGTTTTAAGTCTCTTTTGACAGTTCTTGAAATTAATCCTGGTTGGTGGGTTTTGTTTCTTTAACCTCTTTTTGAGGTTATATGACACTTGAATCTCTAGATCTGGATATATTATTGTTCTCAGATTATTCTCCCTAACTTCTTAAAGTTATAAATGATTCTGACTTTTTCCTACTGTTCTGTCTTAATAGGTTAAAAAAATACTTGAAGATCCTTTTTCGATCGCTTTGGTTATGTCACGCTGTGTCAACCTTGTCAATCGGAGGCTGCGACGGAGACAGTTTCGAGGGTTTCGAGCGTCGCGCACGGTGCCCGACGATCGCACGTTCGTCCTCCTTTCGTTCCTGCAGTCGAAACGGAACACGAGATGACGATAATCTGATTTTGCATCGCGCGCGATCGTGCGCGCGCGTACAGTTCTTCTACGTGCAGGACGAGCTCGCGGTGCAGATTTGTAGGTTAGGTTAGGTTGACGTCGCGCGGAACAACGCGACCAACGCGATGTTTACAGCGAGCAGCGGCGGGATTATTTTGATTACGTGGCGAACGTGGGGCGCTCGAGCCTCATCTCGAGAGACTCGGCGTATTGTTGACGTCGTCGAAGACGCGACTATGCACAGTGATGATAGATAAGAGGCCACGGACGGTTAAGCAACAGCGATGATCCTCTTCAGAATGGGCTCGATCTTCGGCTTCTTGATCCTGGTCAGCGGATTTCGGGAGCACGGTAAAAAGGATCTGATCAGCCTGCGGGAAGAGGTACGGTCCATGTTCGATTATGCCTACTCCGGCTACCTGACGCACGCCTATCCGTACGATGAATTACGCTCGCTGAGCTGCGACGGCTTCGACACGTGGGGCAGCTTCTCCCTAACCTTGATCGACGCCCTGGACACGCTCGCGGTTATGGGTAACTTTTCCGAGTTCCGTCGCGTAGCCGAGCTGATTGGCACGCGGACGAACTTCGAGGCTAACATCAACGTATCGGTATTCGAGACGAATATCAGGGTGGTCGGTGGGTTGCTGAGTGCTCATCTACTGTCGCGCAAAGCCGGCGTCAAGCTGGAACCCGGCTGGCCTTGCAACGGCCCGTTGCTGCGCCTCGCCGAGGACATGGCCAAGAGGTTGATCACCGCGTTTGATACGCCCACGGGGATGCCTTACGGCACGGTTAATCTCAAGTACGGAGTACCGGAAGGTGAGACCAGTATCACGTGCACCGCTGGCATTGGTACTTTCCTCCTGGAATTCGGAACTCTCTCCAGACTGACCGGTGATCCGCTCTATGAGGAGGTGGCCATGAACGCTATAAAGGCGCTGCATTATTACAAATCCAGCATCGGCCTAGTTGGTAATCATATAGACGTCCTAACTGGCCATTGGACTGCTCAGGATTCCGGCATAGGCGCCGGAATAGACTCTTACTTCGAGTACCTGGCAAAGGGTACGCTGCTCTTTCAGGATCCCCTGCTTGCCTCGATATTCCAAGAGCATAAACGGGCTATAGAGAAGTACATTCGTCGAGAAGACTGGCACCTGTGGGTCTCCATGACCAAAGGTCAAGTGACTCTACCAGTCTTTCAATCTCTGGACGCATATTGGCCCGGCGTGCTGAGTCTCTTCGGCGAGATTGGCGACGCGATGAAATCCTTACACAATTATCATCGCGTGTGGAAGCAATTCGGATTCACCCCGGAATTTTACAATATACCACAGGCCGAGGCAGGGACCAACAGGGAGGGCTATCCATTGAGGCCAGAGCTTATAGAATCTGTCATGTATCTTTACAGGGCAACCAGGGATCCGTATTTGATCCAAGTAGGAGTGGACATCCTGAGGAGTCTGCAACATAGCGCGAAAACGACGTGCGGCTACGCGACCATCAATGACGTCCGGGACCATCGTAAAGCAGACCGAATGGAATCTTTCTTCCTCGCGGAAACCACCAAGTACCTGTACCTTCTTTTCGACACTGACAACTTTATCCACAATACCGGTTCTGAAGGTGAGATAATCGACACTCCATGGGGCCAGTGCGTGGTGGATGCCGGTGGATATATCTTCAACACTGAGGCCCACCCGATCGATCCTGGTGCTCTCTATTGTTGCCGGCCAGCGCAGATTTTCCCGGAAGAGAGGTCGATCCTGAGGAGATTCGTTCCGACGAGAGACGCACCGGTGGACAATGCCTCACCGAACGAACTTCATCCTGAAACTACTAGCAAGAATCCAGATGTGTTGCCAATCACGATTACGAAGCTCTCCGAGATCAGGCACCACTCTGCGAGCGAGAAGAAGGATGCTTTCAACGAGAGCGTTTCGTCGCCGAACGTCTCGTCGACGGACTCGTCGGATTCCGTCGAACACGAAAACGCCAGGGACGAGGAAACCGAGAAATCGAATCGAAGCGAAATCCGATTGTCGACGACGCAGGTCCTTCCGCCCTCATCGATGATCTACAAGGCCGACGACAGCGACGGTACCGATGGTTCCGATAATTTTGAACCCCCGATATTGTCTAACGGACAATATTCCGCTCCTGGACTCGCGACGGAGGGTAGGTCACGACGGAATACCACGCCGAGTCCTGTTAAGGCCAGATTCGAACCACAAATAATGCTGGAGAACATCAGACGTGGGAATCTTTATCCGACCAATGTTACGGCGAGGCAGAACTATCAGATTTTGTCCTGTCAAACTCAACCATTCCTACAACGAATGTCGATCATAGGAGAATTTTTTTAAAAAGAAACGCGCCGGAAAGAGGACTTTGATGCGAATCTGCTACGGCAATTCTTAAAGTATTTTTGATTGGCGCGTCTTTGTTATGAGAATGAGATCTACGCGGGCCTATGTGTTTCGCGTACGTTGTACTTTAGAATATATTCCTGTGATATAATTGTTGTTGTATAGTTTCTAACAAATATAAGATATTGCAAACATGTGACAGTCTTTTCACACTGGCAATTTAATTTATTTATTTCAAATGCAAATTTTTAAAAATAAAAAATCATTTAATATTTTATATTGCTATTCGATATTTTATATACATAGCATAAATAAATTCTTTTTCTCTACATAACTTTTGTGAGAAGTTCTATCATATTAAATTTTATTATTTGTAATTCATTTAATTTTTTATAAGCTAAAATATATTTGAATACTACTTATTGTTAGGTATTATTAAATATATTTGAATATTACTTATTGTTAGATATGGATCGCGCAGTCCAGTCTCTATGTCTTTGGTGTGTAATATCAGTATGATTGCATCTAAAACAGGTTTCTTAGAACTATCTATTTTTTTATATTTTTTAAATACATTTTGAGAATTTTAAAATTTTTTTCTGCAATACCGACCGTGCCATATTACCGACAGTATCTATTAAACAACATGGCGATGAGATTGATCGTTTGTTTTTTGATACAATCGTGAAACGTACGTTTTTCCGTATACATAAATTGTACATATAAGTGAAACGTGTATAAATGATGTAAATAGTGTAATATTAATATCGTGAGAAATAGTAATTATTAGATAGAAATTATTTTTCTTGTGTTACTCCGGATTCACTTCATCATGGCTGATAAAAGACAGCACAGTTTGTCGGTGAGAATTAAAATGTGTATATGTGGCTGAATATTAAATAAAATACAATTTTTTGCTAGTTTTGTAAACGGAAGTATTGTCATATAAACAAATTGCAATAGTATCGTTTATTTTATATAAGTTTCCTGGTTTATAACATCTGAAATGCCTCCTAACCTCTTTGTTTACTAAAAAAAAATATTTGGATTGATCTTTACTTGTATTACGTACAGAAAGAAGAAATAGCGAAGCAGTTTATGCTGCCAGAGAGGAAAAGCAAAATCGCAACGTTATTGAAACAGGACGGTCAAGCGTATTGCATTTGTAGAAGCTCCGACAGTTCTCGCTTTATGATGTGAGTAAAATTATTCAGAGGAATCAATACCCAGAATTATTTTTGTCTAATCTCTGCTAATTTGAGACAAGATTATGACTCTTACATTTTTTATTATTTCAGAGGATGCGATGCATGCGAAGAATGGTACCATGGTGATTGCATAAACATAACTGAAAAAGATGCAAAACATATAAAACAATTTTTCTGTGTTGTAAGCGAGTAATTTTTATATAAGCGAATTTTTTAAAATAACAATGAAAAGCAGCTCTCTCTCTCAATGTAAAATAATTATTATATTCAGCGTTGTAGAGAGGAAGATCCGACATTGATAACGCGATACAAACCACGTAGGACTGATCAAGATGACAGGAAACATAGAGACAGAAAATACAAAGAGAAGGAAAGAGGACATCGATACGAATACGATGCGCCATGGGGTCCTAAAGTAGAAAAAAAATCCTCCAAGCGCTGCGGAGAGTGTACAGGATGTCTACGTACAGAAAATTGTGGCAAGTGTGACGCTTGCAGGTAACATAACGAAAGAATGATTGACAAAGCCATCATTTGTGCGAAGCAGTGTTGCTTATAAAATTAATCTTTTTGGATTTCACATACTTTTAGGCATCTGAAGAAATTCGGACCTTCGGTACGATTGAAGCTCAGATGTATTCAACGAACCTGCCGTGTAGTGGGCGATCCGCTAAAACCGTCCAAAAGTCTCAATAAGGGAACGAAATTGACCAAGAGGCGCAAGAGGGATTCGAGTAACGAGAGGAACGAGTACTTGGAGCCACCGTGCCACTGTTATGGACCCACATGCACGAAACAATCGCGACCTGGTAGCAAATACTGCTCCGACGATTGTGGTTTGAAGCTGGCGACGAGTAGAATCTATCAGGTACTACCGCAGCGGATACAGGAATGGTCGTTGACCACATGTATCGCGGAGCAAAATAACAGACGCGCTCTGGAAACCGTGAGAAAACAGCAACACGACGTCCGTAGAATACTGCAAGAATTAGAAAAGAGACACATCGAGTTAGATCGAATTGTCGAACGTGCGAAGCATGCGTCCATCGATCCACAAGCCGAAGTGGATGACAACGATGATACGGAGAGCAGCATGTACTGTATCACGTGTGGGCACGAAGTCAACTCGAGGACCGCCATTAAACATATGGAAAAATGTTTTAATAAGGTATTACAAGACGCAGTTACAGAAAATTCTATAACTGTCGATTACTTGGGTTTACGAGTTCCTAAATGGTTCTAAAGTTGAGTTCATAAATGAGAGCATTTACATAAATTTAGAATATTGTATGTATATTTATCATTTTTGCCAATCTCACTTTAGTCTTAAAGTTTTATGATTTATTGTATGGAATGAGTTTCTCTTCTTTTTTCTCTTGAGATGAAAGTGCTTATTCAGATTGTAATTTGCAGTACGAATCGCAAGCGTCCTTCGGCTCGATTTTCAAAACACGCATTGAGGGCCAGGTGATGTTCTGCGATTTCTACAATCCTGGGAACAGGACTTATTGCAAAAGGCTGCGTGTTCTCTGCCCCGAACACTGTAAGGATCCAAAAATTGGCGACGCTGAGGTATGTGGTTGTCCATTGGTCACGAACGTCTTTGATGCCACGGGCGAATTCTGTCGCGCGCCTAAAAAGAGCTGCGTGAAACACTATATGTGGGAGAAACTACGACGAGCAGAGATCGACATGGAGAGAGTGAGGCAGTGGTTGAAGATCGATGAGCTCGTGGAGCAAGAGAGGCAGATCCGGTCAAACATGGCGACGCGAGCCGGTGTATTAGCTCTGATGTTGCACTCCACTTATAATCACGAGCTAATGGAACAGATGACGCAGGAACAGAGTAGAGAACAACTGCAGGCGATGGAAGAGGAATTACAAAGAAGATACGGTGGGCATCAGCAGAAGGAACAACGCATAGAGTAGTAATCTTTATCATACTTAACTAATACCATTACTAGATCTGTGACTTTCAGCTGCACTTATTACATTTTCTTTATTTCCTCTTTTTTTTAATATATGTATTTTGTGAATATGTATTAAAAGGTGAATATTGTAAAAAAAAAAACGCAGCTAAACGAAGCAGACCTAATGTTATTTTAACATATTATTTGTTTGGAACTAATTACGCGCAGCACGGTCGATAGTTTTCCTAACAAACAAATCTACATAAATCGCGTAGACTGAGAACAAAAAATTGACAAGTCACAGAAAGTTGGTACAGTGGTTGTAAACGTGTACTATAATGTAATGTGCGTATATACATATGTATATTATATTATGTACCTGTTAATGTAAAATAGATTAAGATAATCTCATAAGGTGAATAATAGTTCCTTTAAGCTCTGCCATTTTTTAAATAAATTTACATAAAGTCTAAGTACGTTCTGGTGATACGTTTATGTCTTTGAAGAAAATATATGTGAAAAAAGAATATTTATTAATATCCATTCTGTTGTAAATCGTACTTACGCTCAGATGACGTTCGAACAAAACCCACGTTCTTAATTAGTCTGAAATTGAAGAATCTCCAAAAAAGTGGTATGCAACAGATGGAGAAGCAGATATTTCTTTTCGGCAATATTCGTTATTATTTACATTATAGTATATCGAGATGCAGACGTCAGGAATTTTCACACACTCCGACAATTAATCGTTTCAACAAAAACCATTTATTCACAGGTCGTAGCCTCTGCGGATGCAAAATAACACGCCAAACTAGCGATCTATCGCTTAGCTTCGGAAAATAATCGCGCATAGAATGGACATATTTTTTATTCCTCTCAGGAGAACCGCCTGTTTCAAATCGCCTCCCCTTAAATGCGTTAAATGACGCGACGTTTGCCGAGACCTCTTCGTCATCGACCGCTGGAACTATTATTAGTTATCGTCATTTTGGAAGTTTACGTAAAATGTCAAATAGATAATAAGTATCATCCTCTGTCTATGGAACTGAGAGTGTGTTATCTCAGAACACACTTTCAATAACTAACACCGCTTTACTCACAATATATCTATATATAACAAACACAATAATATAAACTTATGCGATGCAATAATTAGGAACAAATGTGTCAATGCGATGGCAGTACGAAGCTAATGCGTCCGGATGTTCGTACAAATTATGCGATAAAAGTTAACTCTCTAATGTCCATTTCTATCAGTGCCTATTGTTTTTTTATCTCGGTTTAATGTAGTCTTTACTCTTATAATTTTTAGAACTGTAGAAAAAAATAAAAAAATAAATTACACCGAATTAATCTACACTTTGATAGAAATGTACTAACTCATGTAATCTTAAACTAATTGTTTCGCGATAAAGACTGCGAGAAGCGATCACCGGATAGGCCACGATGGAATTAATCGTCGAGTTCGTAAGAGACAAAATTCGAAAGTGCGTGTATCGGAAACAAATTATATGCGAATTATAAACGAATATTTGCGACTCGCTTTAAGGGACCGGGTTGAAAACAGGCGATCATACCCCGACATATATATATATATATTATATACGTGCGCCGATCTCACATTGTACGTGCATGCGCTTCAAAAAGGATAAAGGACGAAGAGAAATAGAGAACGACTCATTCTTTTTTCTTTTATCACAGTATTGCACGCAAAGCTTGTACGAAATCGCAAGTAAGACAGCATAAAGGCCAAATGGCAGACACTACACGCTTTCCTCTCAGAATACATCCGGGGAGGGTCGGAATTCTTTCGCAGAGTAGCGAAAAATGTTTATCCACTCCCTCATTCTCCCTCACCTTCTCTCACGCTTTCTTTTTCTCTCTCTCTGCCACTCTCATTCATACACACTTCAGCATTATTCTTTCACAATCCATGGCAACGACTCCAAACGACCCTTCACATCCATGGTCCATAATAGCTTCGACGTATATCCGACAAGTTAGTAACAAAATAATAATCCACACGTATACACGTGTGTTTGAGTACATCACCTGAGAATAAATCGTGATATATCTCTTCGTTTCCTTCGTAATGTAAATCCCTTTGGGATTTTTTTCCCCCGTTTTCTCGCTCGACAATACAATTTTCCCTCTCGTACGGTAGTGCCTTAACAATCTGTCGTTCAACGGAAAAATATAGCGTACTGGCGGTATTACGCTGTCTTGTCCGGGTCGATGCTGGCCAGATGGCTTTAACGTCTTAATATATTAACATCCTAATGGAACGTTAATCTCTTTATGAAAGAAGCTTCGGAAGAAAGTCGCCCCTCTCCGGATAATTCTGTGACACCGCACACAAAGAGGAGAATTTCTGTACTCCTCTCGATCTCCGGTAGGAAAAACAAAAGGGAAGAAGTTGAAAGCTGCAGGATCGTCGCCGTAGCCAAAATAAGGTGGATGAAGACGGGATTACGAGCGATTTTCTTCTCTCTTCGTGTAGCTTCAGCCCGCAACGCGAAGGTCCCAAGAAGAGAAAAGAGGGAAAGTCCAGCTCCGCTTCCACCCCGGAGGGGCGACGAACACACGGCTTTTTTGATTTGCCACCCCGGGACGAAGCTCTCGCCGATGCGATACGACCCGACAATCAGATATCACCGTACTTCACGCACGCGAAAAGGGGGAACTTTGGCAACAAACACACATTCGCATCTTTAAGGTTTTTTGCAGCTGGACAGCACAGCCTTTCACACGCACGCACAAGATCCGTAATTCGACATGCACAGTCATCTCCCAATCTCACTCGCTCTCTCTCTCTCTCTCATTTGTTATCTCACTAATAATAGCGGCATTAACTGTAATCTTAATTGGATAATTCTGCCGTAGCGTTGGTAATAATCATACAATGTTATATCATACAGCGTCGTATGTACAATACGAGAGGAGAATCGTTTCGTTATCGAGTAACAAATTGTACAGCGGCGCAGGACCAGCGTCGAGGTACATCCGATCGATTTCCCTCGAGACCGTCGGGAGTACTTTTGCTTCTCGTTCTGCGTCCCGTCCTGGAGAAGCAGCCAGCTGTGCGTAGCTATTTCTCGAGATAGTCGCAACAATCGGCTGCTGACTCGCATTTTTCTCGCGCGAGCGAGCGATTAACGACAATTGAATAGCCGGAACCGGGTAAACAGGGCGAAGATTAAAAAGGAGAAAATTAACTCTTAGTACACACGATGATTTTCCGGTCCTTCGCTACACAGACGGGATCATTCGTGTCCTGAACTAATTTTCATTACTTTAATAAATATAAAACAGATAAACTTTAATCTCGGGTTAACTTACTCTTTATATTTTTCTAATTCTCAGTACCAGAAAAAGATAATTTAAGTTAAACAAAGATTAAAGTTAAGCTACATTGAAATAGGCATAAGTGTAATTCTTATACATATAACATCTTTAGAAAGTATTTGGAAAATTGTATATATTATAACTAATTGATGCTCCTAATTTTTCGAAGAAAAAGAAAAGATGTACAGGATACGAACGACTCTAATCGTGTGTACTAAAAGTTAAAGGGAATCTCTGTGCGAAACTGGGCTAGACTCGAGGCGTCTTTCGGAGCGAAGAACATGCGCTGAAACAGATTTCGCTGTAATGAATAATGATGCAGATCGATGTGAAAGAAAATAAACATATTTATTTCTTCTCATAAACTTAAACTTCTTATAAACGAAAACAGTAAAGGGGCAGGGGGACGTACAGGTATTGATAGTTGTAACGTAGTTTTTCGCTTTTTCTTTCCCTTTTTATATTTTTTTTTCTTTTCTCTTTGTTTCGTGTTCGCTCGTCCTTCTCTCCTTCCTCGTCGTCTCGTCGTTTCTCTCGAGTTGCGTCTACTCGTCGTTAACCGCCTTAATCTTGATCGCGCGATGCAGATCAAAGAGACAAAAGTCGGTCCCGTCCGGTCCGCAACGAATGTCCGCGCGTTTTCATGTATGTGTGTACGTCGAATGAAGAAAAAAAAAAGAAACATTAAGTAATTATATATACTCTACATGTGCGACATAGGTTGGCGTAGCTGCCACCCCACACTCGCTATGTACACTGTTAAATGGTCCTAATCTTCTTTTTCCTCCTTCTTTCCTTCTTTCGCTTAGTTCTGTTCCACAAGTACATTTGCACTAGTCTTCGCGAACTCTTTATCACTTAGCCATTTGAACCGGTCAACATGGCACAGGCTGAGACTGCATTCAGTTGCATTTTAAGGCGAATGGAGCACCTGACTCTGTTTCTTTTTTTTTTGTGTTTTTGAATTATAGTTTTTTTTCGCGTGTGGAGTCGAAGTAGCTCGGAAAAAGGGAGAGTATCATTCGCGTGAGAGGCAACGACGAGCTGCTCGAGCGATTTTCAGTCAAAGTAACAACCGGTGTACCGCGAGATTGTTCACAGCATGTGCAGCAGCATGTCGAGAGGTGCGTGGTGTGTGTATGTATATACGTGTGTAAAATGAAAATAAAAAGGAAATGAGATAAAAAAAAAAGAAAAAAGTCGTGCAGTCCAGTGTATTCTCCGTTGGAGCAACATACACCACGGAGAGGGAAAGAATCTGGGAGGAGCACGAATAAGAAAGATTAAAAAGAAAGTTCTCTCTCGGTCGAAGAAGTGGAAAGGCGGTTCTCGCGATTACACTTTTGGAATGTAACTGTTCGACATTAGCAATTGAATGTAATGTAAAAACGTGACAATTGGGACAAAAAGAAGGGAGGGATAGAGCTAAAAAGGCGTTTAGACAGTCAACGTAATGTCGGAAACGCGTGTCTCCTGCGAAGTTGCTTTAAAAAGGAAAAAAAAAAAAAGAAAGCGAGACACTTCGGGATACTTTGTCAAGTCTGTAAGGTATTTTAGTTGCGGCTACAGTCGTACCTCTTTTTTCCGAGTTACTCTCCGATATGCGCGATAAACGCTTGTGTCACAATTTGCGTACAATTAAATATCTCGATTTTCTCGCTTATCTCGAAAGCTGTACTTCCAGCTGGAACTATCTCCTATATACTGGACAAAAATGAAAATTATCAACGGAGTACGGCTATCTTTTTTTTCGTTTTTACACAA